TCGACTCATCCAGGCCCTGTTGGGTAGAGTAGAATTGCCCCAGGATGAGCCTTTGTGAAAGCAGGCTGCACATCTTTCTCCGGTGGAGGGGCTGGAGGTTTGAACCTGCGAACTTGGTTTAGGAGCTGAGTACTTGATCCTTCCTCTCTGCCACCGGGGTGGGGGTGGGGTGGGGTGTCCTTCAAGTGAAAATAATAAGCATATTTATATTCATCTAACCAAACTGATGACTGTAATAGAAAGATGAGGGGCTTAGGAGGTGTGCACACATGCATATAGGTGTGAAAATGTGAAAGGATGCAAAAGTAAACTATCCTTATTTTCTAGAATCCTCAATCAATCGGTAATGTTTAACTGAAAAAGTCAAGAACCTTGAAAACATTGTATAGGGTGGAGTAAGTCTCAAAAGGACAAATATTGCCTGATTTCACTCATGAAATAAGCACATATGTTGAATGCAAAGACTACTTGTGGTCATCAGGGATCAAGCAGGGAAGGAGAGGTTTTGCATAGGGGCGTTGGGGTGGTGAGATGGTGGCACGATTTGGATAAAGGCAGTGCGAATGGAGGTAGAACTAGCCAAGTGCAGTCAGTGGCCTTGAACCATGCATGTGGAAATTGTGGAGGTGGCGCATGCATGTCATGCATACTTTATTCCCAATGAAATAAAAAATAAGAGGGAGGAGAAGCGTTAAGAAAACCAAGAAGTAGACTCCCACCACCACCACCTCTTGTGTTTAATTTCAGGGTTGTAAGAACATTCTAGGATGTAAGCACCATTCCGGTGCTCTCGCTTTTCTGAAGGCAGGTGCAGCTGGGCATACTTTGCACCACAGGGCAGCTGAGCACTGCCAGCTCTTCTCTGGGTGAGGGACTGAAGGCCAGGAAGGGGTGGTTTCAGAGCTATCAAATCCTCTCCCTGAAAACGAAACAACTTCACTGCCTCTGAGTCATTGCTGACCCCCTGTGGGTTTCTAAGACTGAGATAGTTTACAGGAGTAGAAAGCCTCATCTTTGTCCTGAAGAACTGCTGGTGGTTTCGAACTGTTGACCCCTGGGAATTGCAGCCCAACACGTAACCACTACACCACCAAAGGTCCTCTTAAAATCCCTAGCACCATTGTAATACTTGATACTTAATACTTAACGGAGTTAGTTAAGAAAAACAAAAAGCAAAAACAAGAAAACCCGAGCATGAGCCCAGCTAGTGGTCTTGGTTTTACAATTTCATTGCAGGAAACCTTTTTGTCTCTGCTTCTGGAAGAACCCTTAAGAAGACTGAGGCTGAGGTCTTTTATCTTAGTCTTATGCTTTTGCATCTAATCTAATCTCGTGGTGGTTAAAATACACATATACAACATTTTATGCACAGTTTTGGTGGGTTTCTAGCCTACGTATGAAACCTCCATTCTGGAACAAGAATTGATGTCAGCACAAATAATTAGGGAGAAATAGGGGGCTGACTTTAGATGGTTGTGGACTGTCAAGTATCCAAGAGAAGAAAGGTAGCTATATTTCACAGGTTTATTTTTCTTCCAGTACCGTACATGAGATCAAGACTCTCATGTGTTACTTGGTTCTGGTATTAATGAAGATGTTATCAGCCATGTCACAAATGCTTGTTATCACCAGGCACATATTACGTGAGAGCAGAATCTTACTTCCGTGAACTTGAGTGTGTTAGTGGTACTTATTGTACTAGTATAATTGAGGTACTAATAAGTAACAATAATTGATTGCCTTCTGTGTGCCTGCATATCTCCTGCTAAACACTTCACCTATATTGTTTCATCCTTATTTATAAAAGTAGGTTCTTCTGTTATTTCTGTTTTGCAAATGGGAATTTCAAACACAGCAGGGATCAGTATTTTGCCTGAAGTTACACAGCTTCTAGGGGTGAGACTAGATTCAAACCCAGTCCTGTTTCTAAAGCTGCATAATCTTAACCATTTTGAAGAGTTGCCACAGGAAAGAAGATCAGTGTTTTAGTTACCATGGTGAGAAAATGATGGTTCTCTGGCTACAGGGGGGTGGAGAATCACTCCAAGGACGATTGCCACAAGGCAGAGATTAGATGTCTCCACCCTCACACTTCCTTACCTCTTTGGACAACTGCCCCTTTCACACCACTCTGCTTCTCTGCTAAGCCTACGTAGAACTCAGAGACAATACTTGTAAATATGGGAATTTATTTGGGAAGTTAATAGGATACAACAAGTCGGATCAGAAATTAAGGATCCTTTTTTTGCTGAAGCACTGCTTGTAGCCATGCCTGTAGTCAAATCTCTCTGGTCCCAGGTCTCTTGGCCAAGGGGCCCTTTGGCAGCTGGTCTGCTGATAAATGCCCAAAGGGCACCCCTGTATTGCAAGCCAGCCTCTTCCTTTGCAAGGGCACCTCAGCGTCACCTATTCTGTAGGTGTAGAAAGCTGCTGCTCTCCTGTTCTCTGTGGTATCTTGCCACTTCTCCACATCGGAATCGTGGACGCACTTTGCTCGTGACTCTTCTTTCAGCTGGTTGTGGGATAGTCTCTTCCTGCTTCTGCGAGCGCTCTTTTTATAACCTAGTCATTTGGTGGGAGCCACAAAGACCATGGATAGAAGAGCCACTCATGGTTGAATCTAAGTTTTCTGTTAGCTCTTTTGAAATAATAAAACATTTTCTCAGTTCTCCCAAGCTGTAGTTGTGATTAATATTTCTGGTGTTAGTTTAAAATGTGGACTGCATAAGCTCATAGAAATCTTTTCTCAGACTAACTATGATTATTTAGGCAATTAATTTTCTATTAAAAGTTTGCTTTACCGTGACAATATATAATTAGAGACCATTAAATCAAAAACCACTGAGTTCTTTGAGATTCCGTCTTCTGATAGGCTTTGATCTCAAGGCCAAGAAAGCCAGGAGTGGGAAGTGGTCTTTCTCTCTCCATCTAGCTCTCCTTCCAGCTGAGGGATAAATGATTTAGGTAGATTGATCATGAATCAATGCTCACACGTTCATCAACATTTTATTGTAAACTGAGTCAGGTAACAATTTAAAACCACCATGCTTAAATTATAGGAACCCTGGTGGTGGAGTGGTTATGCATGGGTTGCTAACCACAAGGCCCCCAGTTTGAAACTACCGGCTGCTCCTTGGGAAAAAGATGAGGCTTTTCACTCCTGTAAAGAACTAGAATCTCAGAAACCCACAGAGGCCATTAATTCTGCCCTGCTCTGCAGGGTTGCTATGAGTCGGAATTGACTTGATGGCAGTGACTTTGGTTTGAGGGTTAAATCTGTGTTTGTCGCATTTCATCTCTACTCCTTTTGTGTGCCTTATGGTGGCTGACTGCCAGACTGACTCCTCCTGCATGGGAGACGTCACCCCTTTGGCTCCTGGTGCCCAAAGCCCAATCCTCCAGG